AAAGTTTTTGTTTTTTGGTTTTTGTTTCTTTTGCAGCACTAGGTATGAAACCCAGGCCCTTGTCAATGCTAGATAAGCACTGTACTCACCAACCCTCAAAAAGTCTTTTTAAGAAGAGTGAAGGGCTGGGGATCTGGCTCAAGTGGTAGCACGCTCGTCTGGCATGCGTGCGGCCCGGGTTCGATCCTCAGCACCACATACCAACAAAGATGTTGTGTCTGCCAATAACTAAAAAAATAAATAAATAAATAAATGTTTAAAAAAAAAAAAAAAGAAGACGAGTGAAGACTCTTCTTCCCGGGAGTTGATGCTACCCACAGGTCCTTTGTCCCAGCCTCTTGGGAGGTGAAGTAATCCAGGGCCCAGAGAGGGCAAGGACTTCACGGTCTTGAAAAGTCTCCCCAAAAGGCAGGACACTCAGGATCCCAGCTGACTCTAGTTCCCGAAAGCTAAAGTTCACTGGATCCAATTCCCCATGAAACTCATTGAGAGGCAGGTGGCCACGATGGTGGAACCCGGCATCTGCCAAGGGATGGTTGGCATAGAGGCCACCACCCAGCTCACAGATGCCCCCATCTCAGCAAAGAGGTCTCCAGGACGTCACACCCACCTAGTCTGCCAGTGAAGCCATGTCCTTGTCCCAGATCTGCAGAGCAGTGACCCAGCGGAGCCAGAGAATAGGCAGCAAGCACAGGCCATGGCTGGCAGAGCCTGCCATGATGGCCAGGGCCTGAGACAGCCTGTCACCTGTCACCCTGTGGCGGCCTAGCCCCAAGCAGGGTATGCCACAGCTCTGAACCCTGAAGCATCCACAATCCACCAACCTCAAACCCCTGGAAAGCTAGGATTGCAGGCCAGCCGACAGGAAAACAAGAGAGGGGCAGATCTGAGTGAAGCTCAGACTCAAAGGTTAACCAACATCAGTACCTTGCCAAAGCCAAGAGTCAGCATAAATTTGGACCAACAACGTTGACCCAAGTGCTACACAAACCCCTAGACTCGCACATGCAAGTGGCAACCCCCTGTGGGACAAGTGTGTTTCTATTCACACTTGAATAAATCTTACTCATGGGCTGGGGATGTGGCTCAAGTGGTAGCGCGCTCGCCTGGCATGCGTTCGGCCCAGGTTCGATCCTCAGCACCACATACAAACAAAGATGTTGTGTCCGCTGAAAACTAAAAAATAAATATTAAAAAAAAAATTCTCTCTCTCTCTCTTAAAAAAAAAAAAAATCTTATTCACTCATCCTCGTCTGTGGATTTCATTCTTTGAATTTGCAAGAGGAGAACCCAGAAAGAAGAAACGGCAGCGAGCTGCTGGGGTGTGCTGCAACTCTGGAGGGCATAGCCAGCCACTAAGAGCTGCAACACATCACTCAGAGGCAGCGGAGAAGAAACTGGCTTTCTCAGCTGTAGAGGCCTGCAGCTTACACAGACCCCACCCAAGAGCAGAAGCAGAGAAATTCCGGTTTCCCCAGTGGGTGCTACTTGATTCTGCTGGTTCATCCAAATAGTGCAAAGCCAGCAGCCAAGAAGGAACTGCCCTGTCCCTTCCCCAAAGAAGCCTCTAACCTAGAAAGGCCCACGCCAGAGCTCCCAGCTGAGCCAACTGAGCATTATGTTCACCAGGGCCTGAATCTTGGGCAGATTCTCCACTAGGACAGGATGAGATTCCACCACTGAATAAAGTTTTGAAGGGTGGAAAGATAAGCAAAGTTGTGATTGGAACAAAACACATACATTGCTGGGCACGGGGGCGCATGCCTGTAATCCCAGCAGCTCAGGAGACTGAGGCAGAGGAATCATGAGTTTGAGGCCAGCCCCAGCAATTCAGCTGGGCCCTAAGCGACTCAGCAAGACCCTGTCTCTAAAAAGGATGGGATGTGGCTCAGTGGATAAATGCCCCCGGATTCAATTCCTGGTCCAAAAAAAAAAAAAAACCAAACAAACAACAACAACCCCCCCCCCAAAAAAAAAACACAAACATTGACTGGAACTGTATCTCTGAAAGACTACTCACTTACCTAGCATACGTAAGGCCCTGGTTCCATCCCCAGCACTGAAGAAAAATTTTTTTCAAATGGGGGGGGGGGAGGGCAGGCTGTGCATGGGAAGGAAAGTGAATCCCACACTCAGCGAATATAATTGTCCCTTGGTAACCAGGGGGATTAGTTCCAAGACCTCTCTCAACACCAAAATCTACAAATGCACCTTATGTGAAATGGGGTTTTATCTGCCATTTATAACCTACATACGTTCTCCCATAGAGGTTGGGTCATCTTTAGAAGATTTACAATATGTAACACAATCTAAATGCTATGCAAGTATTTTTATTATCCTGGATTGTTTAGGGAACAATGACAAGGAAAAGAGTCTGTGTATGTTCAGTACAGATTTGATTAAAAAAAACAAAAACAAAAACAAAAGTTTTCCGTCCACAGTTGGTTGAATCTGTGGGTGCTGAACCCACGTGTAGAAGGAGCTGACTGCAGGTGTTCGTCACCCACCTATGGATCAGAAATTGATTTGGGTGCTGGAGCTGACAGACTCCATGCTCTTCTGGAATTCCCAGAAATTGAGGTGACAGAGAATCTAGTAAATCAGAAGCATTTACCGGGTGATCAGTTCAGTAATGTAATGAGAATATTAGGGAAGTGACAGTGGACAGGGTAAGATGCAGGATGTAGTTGGGGGCACCCAGGAAAGCCTTTAGGAGAAGGCTCAGGCCATAAGAAAAGTGGAGCTGTGTTGGGGATGGGTTTGGAAGAGCATTTAGGCTGAGGGAATGGCAAGGCAGCCACACCAGAGCTCAGAGAATGGGGAGAGAAGGTTCAAAGCCATGGAGTGGGGTTTGGATGATTATGCCCTGAATTTAGGCCTGCTTGAGACTGCCTGGCACCTGGCAGGAAGCCTTTCCCTTCCTGGAGACTACAGCAAAGGGCTGGGGGAATATCTGTTTCCCTTTTCCTTGCAGAAATACAAAGGCAGTTCAAGACCAGGAGGAACATGCTCCCCCTGCCAGCCTGCCCCACATTACCATCTATCCCCATTTCAGGAAATGGCCCTCCATCCTCTCAGGGGCTCAGACCTGGACTAAGGAGTCACCCTTGATGCTGCCCTGTAAGACCAGTTGGCCCAGGCTGCAAAACACATTCCAAATCCAACCACTTCTCCAATGCCACCTCCCAGCCCAGCTCCAGCAGTTGTTCATCTGGACCGGAGCAGCCTGGAGCTCCTGCAGCCTCAAGAAGGTACCTGTGAACACCTGAGTCAGGTAGTCCCTCCGCGCTCAGAAACCTTCACGGCTCCCACTTCACTAGGAATAAAAACCAGAGTCCTTCCTAGACGCCAAGCAGCTGTGCTACCTACACTGTCACCTCTCTGCCCTCTTTCCCTCCAGTCCTCCACCCACCCTGCTGCAGACACACTGGCCATGAGCTGTTCCCTAAGCAGGGGTTTTCCACCTCCAGGCCCTCTGCTTGGTACACCACTCCTCGGGAGGTTGGCATGACTTGCTCCTCATCTCCGTCTGGTCTGTGCTCAATGTCACCTTCTCACTAAGTCTTCCTCTACTCAGGAGCCAGAGGCAAGAGGATGGCAAGTTCAAGTCCAGCCCGAACAACTCAGCAAGACCCCGTCTCAAAGTAAATAACAATGGCTGGGGTGCGGTTCAGTGGTAGAGAGCTTACCTAGCATGCCAGAGTTCTGGGTTTAATTCCTGGTGTGTGTGTGAAAAGAAAGTTCACTAACTCTCACACTTCTTATTCCCTTTCCTGCTTAATTTTTCTTCTTTAGTATTAATCAAAAACTAAATTGCTAGCCACATAAACCTAGTGACTGAGGAAACTGAGGCAGGAAAATCGCAAGTTCAACACCATGCTCAGCAACTTAGCGAGGCCCTAAGCAAATGAGAACCTGTCTCAAAATAAAAATGAATGAATGAATGAAGAAAATGAATAAGGGCTGGGGATGTAGCTCTGTGGTAAAGAGCCCTGGGTTCAGTCCCCAGTACTGCCAAACGAACCCCGCCCCCCCGCAACGCTCCATATATCTTATTTTTGTTTCTTGGTACCGCCTCTACTAAGACGATCCCGGCGCGGTGCGAGGGTTGTTTTCTGTGTTCACTGATGTGTCTCCAACACCTGGAACGATGCCTGTCACACAGTAGGCGCCTGATAAACAGAGAAAAGAATATAGCTTCGTGGCTGCAAAGGGGGCCTGAGGCCGCGCGGGGGAGCTCGCTGCTCGCGCTCCTGCAACCCCGCGAGGCGAGCCCAGGAAAACTCCGGCGGAAAGAAGGCTCGGGCTTTTCCAGACTGCGCGCCGGGCCGTCCCTGATCTCACTCTGGGACTTTGCCCTTGTCGTTGCAGGGCGGGGATTCAGCACGCCGCGTACCCGCACCCGCAAGACAAAAGATCCCCGTGGAAATTCCTTAGAAAAATCCGAGCGGGGAGAGGGGCGCCTTTTCGGATGGCGTGTTATTCCCAGGCCGGGTCCCCGGGAGGAAGGGCCAGCGCATCCCCCGGACCTCTCCCTTCCCCTTCTGGTTCACGACCTCCGTGGCCCCTCCAAGGTCTCCATAGCGACTCCACAAGCGTCCCACAACAGGAAGCTTTAGGCGGCGTGGCTCAGAGTCCTGAGACCCAAGGTCCCCAGCCTCGACGTGTGGATGCCGAGACCTGGGGTCACACGTGCAGGCCGTGGCCGGGCGCGCACAGTTGGGGCAGGCGCCCTTCTCCCCGCGCCACCGCGAAGCCTCAGTTTCCCTGCAGAGCCTGGGACGACAGCGGAAGGTCTCCGGGCGTCAGGACCACGCGGCTTCCTTCCTTTTTCTGGGAGCTGTGAAGACGCCCTCGTGGCCGAGGCCGAAAGGGAAAGAGAAGTCGCGCGGGTAGGGGGGGCGGGGAGCGCCGCACGTCCTCACTCGCAGGGCTTGCGGGCGCGGGGAGGTGCCTGGGCCTGCTCAGGTCGCTTCTCCGGAAACCTCGGTGGCAGCTTGGCTGGAACATGCCCTTTGGGGAGGGGCACCTTTGAATGTAGGACTCCGGGCAAGGATCCCTGGGCTTCCACCCCCGCGAGGGGCTTGTCCACTCGATTAGAGAGGCCTGCCCGAGCTGGGGAGTCAAGACTTGAGTTCGGATCCCTTCGCAACTCGCAGCCTCAGTTTACCCCTCTGTGAAATGGACACGTTATCAGTCTCGACTGTTCAGGGTAGTTGGCAGTATTCGATCACCAAGTAAACGGTGAATCGAGGTTACTCCGGCCGGGGATGAGACCCCCGCCCCCCGGTGGCCCGGAGCAGCCCGCTACTCTCCCCTCCCAGCCCTGCCGCCCTCCTTGCTTCAGTTTGGAAATTCCGACCCTGCCACGGCCAGCGAGGCAGGACCACCAGCTCGGGCCGGGCATTCTCTCAGTCCGGAAATGCCAGAGCCCTCGTTGAGGAGGGGAAGGCTCGAGGTTTCCGGGAAAGCAGCACCGCCCCTCGGCCCCCCGTGGCCAGCTGTTATAAAGAACCCGTGCGCTCTCCGGGCTCCAGTGCGCAGTGAGCACCTCTCGCCTCCGCGCTGCTCCCTGCGAACTGCCCTGGCTGCCATGGCCCCCGCCGGCGCCCCGTCCGCGCTGCCCCTGCTCCTGGCTCTGCTCGGGGCTCTGCTCCCAGGTGAGTCGAAGGTGCGGGTGGCCGTCAGGTCAGTTCCCCGGATACGACGTGCGCCTTGGACGTGCGCGGTGGGGGGACGCCTCTCCGGTTGGCAAGGGATCAGTCTGTGCCTGCCTAGGGTCAGCGTTAGGGTTAGGGGAGATGGAACTAGAACCCCCCATTTGAAAGTCACCAGCCGCAGGTTGGAACCCAGACTCCGAATGACCTCGATGGGTGGCCTCGGGCCCCTTTTACACTTAAGGGTCTCGGCTGTAAAATGGGGCCACCACTTATAAGGACCACCTCGCAGGCTTTGTGTGGGGGTGCAGCACTACCCCCGGCCCCAGGACAGGGTCAGATGGTGTGGGGGGCTGGCCTCCGCTCCGAGTAGGCTGCGGGGACCCATCTCCTCCCACAGACATTCTGTTCCTCAGCTTCTGCCCCTGGGGAAGTCCAGGCTGCTTCTGCTCAGGGGAATTCCAGAGTCACTTTCGCAGGGACCACAGACTGCGAAGCAGGTCGTTGAAGCAGGTCGCAGCAGCACTCCCCAGCTCCCCGCTCCAGCCCGGATGGGGGCCTAGAGAGGGGAGGTGACTTAACTAGAAGTCAGGATGAGTCCAGATTAGAGCCCGTGGTGGAGCTGGAACTGTGTCGTCTTGCTGCCTCCTTCTTTTTTTTTTTTTTTTTTTAATATTTATTTTTTAGTTTTCGGCGGACACAACATCTTTGTTTGTATGTGGTGCTGAGGATCGAACCCGGGCCGCACGCATGCCAGGCGAGCGCGCTACCGCTTGAGCCACATCCCCAGCCCCTGCCTCCTTCTTTCCAACACTGTCCAGCAAGGCCGATGCCTGCCCTCCCTCTTCCCCGCTGTGAAATGGGAGTAATTCCAGAATCACCCTTGGAGAATTTCCAGTCTCTGTTGTGTTCTGCCTCCGCCCCAGCTACAGCTAATCTGAGGCCTGGAATCTTGCAAGGGCCAGGCAGGGGTGCTCAGATTTATTATTATTATTATTTGTAATATTTATTTTTTAGTTTTAGGTGGATACAATATCCTTATTTTATTTTTTGTGGTGCTGAGGATCGAACCCAGTGCCTCACATGTGCTAGGTGACTCTCTACCACTTGAGCCACAGCCCCAGCCCCTCAGATTTATTATTATTAATATTAATATCATCATTTGAGATGGGGTCTGGGTATGTCGCCCCTGCTGATCTCAAGTTCCTAAGCTCAATCTATGCTCCCCGAGTAGCTGTGACTACAGGTATTGGCCGTCCAGCCAGGCTCCCTGCTTTTTAATTAATTTTTTTTTTTTTTTGGTACTGGGGATTGAACCCGGGGTGCTTCACCTGAGCTACATCCCCAGCTTTTATTTTCTATTTTGAGACAGGGTCTCACTAAGTTGGCTTAGGGCCTTGCTAAATTGCGAGGCTGGCCTCAAACATTTGATCCTCCAGCCCTGCAGTCACTGGGCCTCCACAGCACTTTAAGTTTTTTCATTTTTTTTTTTTTCAACTTTGCAGGCAGAGTCTGAGGTCTAACATAACCTCTTCCTTCTAATCGCACTTCCTTACAAGACAGCCAACCACTCGCTACCTTCCCTGTGCTGTGACTCCTATTAACAGGGGTGTGTGGTGACTACACCCACTCACCTTGTAAGTGGGAAAACTGAGGCTCAGAGAGGGGAAACAGTGTGTCTGAAGGAGTAAGGAGCTAGCCCGATTCCTAGCTCACTTCCCCTGACCTCTTAGAAGGCAGGAGAGGACTGACTTGGTATTACAATCTGACTCTCCTTCCATGGCTCTTCATTGTCCTCAAAGAACACCATAAGCATTTGTGTATATTATATTCATATATACTATGTGTATATATATATATATATATATATATATATATATATACATACATACATACATTTGCATATTCTACCGCTGAACTACATCCCCAGCCTTAAAAACTCTTCTTTAGTGTGTTCTGCCCTGCTCACGTGATCTTGATTTCATTTCCCCCTCCTCCCCCTTCCCCTTGCTCCCTGGGCTCCAGCTGCTCTGCCTCAGGGCCTTTGCACTTGCTGTTCCTTTTGCCTGGAAGCCACTTCCCTTTTCTCTGGATGGCCAGCCCTTTCTCATCACTCAGGTCTTTGCCCAGCTCTGTCACCAAGGCACCATTGGTTCGCTCATTGTTTTGTTTTTGCCAAATCTTTACCGACATCCCTTATTAATTATCTTGTTTGCTCACGAATATTCCTGTCTCCCACACTGAAGGCAGAGGGTTTTGTTAGTTCAGGGACGTGTGCCCAGCTCCCCGCCCAAGCTGGGCACACAGTAACGTTGGCGCATGTGATGGGTCACGCCTCTGTCCTCACCCTTGTGTTCCAGAGCCTGGAGATGCCCAAGTGTCGGTCTTCCCCACAGAAGCCACTCTGCCCCGAGGAGGCTCTGTGCTGGTGAACTGTAGTTCAACTTGTGAAGAGGAGGCCTTCTTGGGCCTGGAGACTCCGCTGACCAAGGAGGAGCGGGACAGAGGGCACAACTGGAAGGTGTTCAAACTGAGTGACGTGGAGGAAGACAGCAAGCCGATGTGCTTCTCCAACTGTGGCCCAAACCAGACATTAGCTTCGATTTCCATCACCGTGTACAGTGAGTGGCGGCCAGGGGACAGGATTAGGGAGATGGGGTGGGAGAGGTGGGGGTGGAACCTCAGAGCAGCTCACCGAAGGGCAGGGAGAAAGTTCCACTGTCATCTGGAAGCCCTTTGAATTTCTTTGGTTACATTTCGAGTATCAACAGGAATTGGGACCATTTGAAAACACCATCTCTCTATGCCTTAATCTCTGTGTGTGATGCTAGGGATGGACCCCGGGCCTGGCGCATGCTGAGCACATGCTCTACCACTGAGCTTCTTCGCCCAGGGGTTTTATACTCTTTAAACATAGCAGGAGGCTCTGGATCTGATGCTTTAGAAAAGGATGCATGGGCTGGGGGTGCAGCCCAGCAGCCATAGAGCACTTGCCCAGCATGTGTGAGGCCCTGGGCTCCATCCCCAGAATTGCAAAATAATATTTTTTCTTAACCCTAAAAACAAATGCAAATTAAAACTAGCCCTCAGATGACATTGTTCACACATTGATTAAAAGAATTGACAACAGCCGTGCTGGCCAGACTGTGGGGAGTCTGAGCACAACCCTGTGGCAAGTTATTAGGTATTGAGTCTCAAAATGATATTTGCTTGCCGGGCACGGTGGTGCACACCTGTCGTCCCAGTGGCTCAGGAGGCTGAGGCAGGAGGATCGAGAGTTCAAAGCCAGCCTCAGCAATGGTGAGGTGCTAAGCAACTCAGTGAGACTCTGTCTCTAAATAAAATACAAAATCGGGCTGGGGATGTGGCTCAGTGGTTGAGTGCCCCTCAACTAAGGGTCTCACTGAGTTGCTTAGCACCTTGCTTCTGCTGAGGCTGACTTTGAACTCATGACCCTCCTGCCTCAACCTCCCAAGTCGCTGGAATTACAGGTGTGTGCCACCACACCCAGCTCAAAATATAAATAATTTTTTTAAAAAAGGATTTGCATATTAGCTCTGTGGTAGAGCACCCCTGGCTTCATTCTCTGGTAGTGTCAAAAAAAATTGATATATGCTTGTGTTCTGCACCTTAGAAATCCCAGTCCTGGGAATTGGTCCTAAATGGGCCCCTCCCATCAAGGCATTGGTGGAGCCTTAAAGTTTTTATTTTTTTTCTTCCTGTGGTGCTGGGGATCAAATCCAGGATGTGACACATACTAGATAAGCTCTCTACCACTTAGCTGCTTGAGGACACAAGTTCACAAATGATTGCATTATAGAGGGCCAGGGAGAGAAAAGTAGGTTTGCCATATCAGAGAATAGTATGTAACTGTGTAAAAGAATGAGGAAACTCCTCTGTGCCAGAAGGGAAGTGCTCCAAGGTGTACTGTAAAGTTGAAAGGAAAGTACTGCTAGGCATGAGTGGCATGCCATCTTGTATGGCAGAGAGCCAAAGGGGCAGACGGGGAGGTGGTATTTACACACAAAGGAGCCCTAAAAGGAAACACAAGAAATAATAATGTGGGCACAGTAATTTAGGAGTCTGAGGCAGGAGGATCACAAGTTCGAGGCCAACTTGGGCAACTTAGTGAGACCCCCATCTCAAAAAAAAAAAAAAAAAAGAGAAATGACAAGGACAATATTAATTGGCTGTGAATAAAAAAACTGCTGAGAGGCTCCAGGAAAGGGGGAGGCGGAGGATTTTCTTGTAATGTCCTTTTTGCTTTGAGGATTTTTGATGTGTGAGAATGAGTTTCCAAGGCAAAGGAAAAAAAAGCACAAATATAATTCAAATCATAACAAAACAAAAAGGAGAAACAACAAAGAGAACTGGCCAAGTGACTTGGAATGAGACTGCCTGGGTCCCAGGCCCAGCATGGCTCTAGGGACTGGGTGAGGGTGGGGGACATGGGTTCTAGGTTTACTTTTCCATCACGTGAGACCTCCTGCCTTGGGGACAGTAGGGTGAAGCTTCATGGCCCCTCACAAAGAAAGCCTTCAGGCACTCATCGACTCCACTTCTGGTTTGGAGGGTGTCTGAGCAGATGCTGGCCCGCCAGGTGAGGAAAGTCCCCAAACATTCCTGGTGGCCTCTGAAAACCCCTGGGAAATCTAGTTAAGGGCTTCTCTGAGTCTCCGCCTGGCAGTTGAGGACCCAGCACTACAGGTTGGGTCCTAGCTCCGCCGCATTTCTCCTCGGTGACTTTGGATCTCCCTTTGCCTTGGTTTCCACCTCTGGGAAATGGGCCGGTGGCTGCCCGGTGGTTGTTTCCAGGGCATATGAGGTGGGCGGTGCCTAGGAGAGACTGGCTGGGCTCTGCTCCACTCTTGATGCCAACATGAGGAGGCATCCTCTGGGTGGCTAAGCCATGTCAAAAAAGTTAGAAGTAGGGGCTGGGGATGTGGCTCAAGCGGTAGCCCGCTCCCCTGGCATGCGTGCGGCCCGGGTTTGATCCTCAGCACCACATACAAACAAAGATGTTGTGTCCGCTGAAAACTAAAAAAATAAATATTAAAAAAAAAAGTTAGAAGTATAGTTCCTAGAGAACGGGAGCACTAGGACTTTGGTGGATGTGTAGGAGTTGGTAGAAATGGGCGCCCTGGGGCTGGGGTATCCTGTGCCTTTGGGATGGGCAAGTCCCCGAGGTCAATCCCCAGCACAGAGGGAACAGCCCGTGAACAAGGGGCCATCCTGGGGGTGGGTCAGGAAGAGCTGGACACGGCTGGGGTGGAAAGGAGGAGCTGTGCCACCTTCTCTTCCTTGGGGTGCTGGGAGCCATGGAGGGTTTGTGGGCAGGTCCAGAATCCAGGTAGCAGGACGCACAGGAGTCAGAAAGTGGCTGGGCCTGGGCCTGAGGGCTGCACATGTTATTGGCAACGGTGGCATCCAAGAAGGGATGAAGGATGAAGTGACCAGGATTTGGTGAGGGACTGAGGATCAGGGTCCAGGAGAGGTAAGGACAAATCAGACACCCTTCCTCCAAGTTCTTGTCCTTTAAGGGAACGAGGCTTAAGGATTGCTGAGTCCCATTTAGAGGCTGAGGTTTGATGGGACCTCCTATTCTGCCATTTCCAGTTTCTGTAGTTAAGAGTTAAGAGCTGGGGCTGGGGATATAGCTCAGTTGGTCGAGTGCTTGTGTTGCACACACAAAGGCCCTGGGTTCAATCCCCAGCACCACCCCACTCAAAAAAAAAAAAAAAAAAAAAGGAGTTAAGAGCTGTACCTCTGAGGTTTTTGTGACCTTTTGGTTTTTTTTAACAGTTTTACTGAGATATTATTTACATACCACAAAATTCACCCCTTTGGGGGCTGGGGTGTAGCTCAGTGGTAGTACCTTGCTTAGCATTCGAAGGCTTTGGGTTCTGTCTCCAGCACCACAAAATTTTAAAAAAAGCACAACTGGATGAATGTTTCAGTGTATTTATAGAATCGTACAACCACTGCCGCTATCTACTTTGAGAACACTTTCATCACCCTAAAAAGAAGCTTCCTGCCCATTTTTAGTCACTCAGTCTCTTAAATTGATTAATAATATTCCACTTCTAATGGCCCCATTTTATAGTTCAGGAAACTGAGGCCCAGAGGGGCAATGGCACTTGACCACAATCCACAGCAAGAAGCCACATAAGCTGGCGTCCATCACAGGCCAGCCTGGCTCCCCACACCTTAGGGGCATTGCAGGTGACATTTTGGGACCTCTTGAGAAGAGATTAGGGAAGGGAAGGTCATCATGTTCCCTCCCTGGGGGTCTTGGTGCTAATACCCAGCTCATCGTGTAATACACGTCCTGGTCATCAGGTTGGGATTCTGTTCCTCCCTATGGAATGGAGTCTGGCCTCTGTGTTGTATGTATATTCAAGGGGGTGTTCAGTTTCCTTTTTCTTTTCCCATTTTGAAAAATATTTTTTAGGGCTGGGGATGTGGCTCAGGCGGTAGCGCGCTCGCCTGGCATGCGTGCGGCCCCGGGTTCCATCCTCAGCACCACATACAAACAAAGATGTTGTGTCCGCCAAAAACTGAAAAATAAACATCAAAAGTTCTCTCTCTCTCTCTCTCCTCTCTTAAAAAAAAAAAAAAAAAGAAAAATATTTTTTAGTTGCCAATGGATTTCTCACTTTGTTTATTCCTATGCGGTGCTGAGGAGGGAACCCAGGGCCTCACTCATGCCAGGAAAGCGCTCTACCGCTCAGCCCCAGCCCCAGCCCTCGGTTTCATTTTTCTATTTGCCCATTTTTAACATGGGATCCACAGCTCCTCCTTCTCTTTCCCTTGAAATCTGGCCCTTGGAGCTGGGGATGGAGCTGAGTGAGGCCCTGGGTTTTACCAGCACAGGGCGGGGACTTTTTTTCAAATTGGGCTCCTGAAAAGCCTCCCATCAGTTTGGCCTGCTCTACCTCATTCTTTCAGCAAATATTGAGCAACTACTGTGTGCCAGGCAGAACAAAAGAACAAAGCAAACAAAAATCTCTGCCCCTGGGCTAGGGGTGCTTGGCATGCCCCCAGCGCCTGGGTTCTGTCCCCAACACACACACACACACAGACACACACACACACACACACACACATTCCTTCCCTCCTTGGGCAAAAGGAGGAAATAGGGAAACAATTGAATAGAATAGATTGTTGTATATGTTTAGAAGATGGAGATGTGTTGCTGAGCGTGATGGTGCACTCCTGTGATCCCTGCAACTCAGGAGGCTGAGGAAGGAGGATTGAAAGTTCAAAGCCAGCCTCAACAACTTAGTGAGACCCTGTCTCAAAATAAATAATAAAAAGGACTGGGGGTGTAGCGCAGGAGTTCAATCCCCAATGTGGGGAAGAAAAAGAAGGTGGTGTGCACCATGGAGCAAAAAGTCAGGCTGAGCAGAGGTTTTGTTCTGTGGTCGGGATGGAACCAGGGCTCTAGCCCCAGCCGCACCCTCAGCTCACAGGAGCCCTGGTTAAAGTATGTCTAGTGGAGGGGCTTCCCTGGGCATTATATTTGACCAGGCTGTGGGGACAGAGTTTGCAGTTGTTTTCAGATCTGGCTGCACTACATAAAGAATTTTTTGGTCCCCTTTACAAACACTTGGGCCTCTCAACAGCTTTCCCTGAAGCTCTTGCATTCCTGTCTGCTTACCTTGCGTCCTCTTTTGGGAAGTCAGGGGAGTGGCGAGATTCCAGGACAGGTGCCCGCTGGCCAGCTTCATGGGAAACTCCCCCACTGTCCCCACAGGGCTCCCGGAGCACATGGAGCTGTTCCCCCTTCCTCCCTGGCAGCCGGTGGGCGAGAACCTCACCCTGAAATGCCAGGTGAAGGGCGGGGCACCCCGGGCCCAGCTCACCCTGGTGCTGCTCCGAGGGGAGGAGGAACTGAGCCGGCAACCTGCGGTGGGGGAGCCAGCAGAGGGCAACGCCACGGTGCTGGCGGGCAGAGGTGACTATGGTGCCAATTTCACATGCCGAGCTGAACTGGACCTGCGGCCCCAAGGACTAGGATTCTTCCAGAACACCTCGGCCCCCAGGCAGCTCCGGACTTTTGGTGAGGCCCCGGGCAAGGTGGACTCAGAGGGGAGCAGCGTTCCTGCGTGGGTGCCGGGTTCCCGGGAAGGAGCCCCTGGCTGTGCCAGTATCGAGAAGGTGGTGGGCTAGATTGCGGAAGCTTCTGGAAAGGACAGATGCTTACCTACAGGAGCGGGATGCCCTGGGGATGGGGTGCCTGTGTCCGCAGGATCTGGGGCGTCTTTACTCCCACACCTGGAACGTTCTCTTCCTGGACTCTATGGCCTGAGTAAAGATGCCCCAGCCAGCTGTGGGATGTCTCGGCCTCTCTGTTCACGCTCACCCTCTCTCCCCAGTCCTGCCGATGACTTCTCCACAGCTTGAGACCCCCAGGATCCTGGAGGTGGGCACATCGGAGAAAGTGGTCTGCTCCATGGGTGGGCTGTTTCCAGCTTCAGAGGCCCGGGTCCACCTGGCCCTGGGGGACCACAGGCTGAACACCACAGTCACGTACAACAAGGACTCCCTCTCAGCCACAGCTTGGGTGGAGGGGACTGCAGAGAACGAGGGTGACCATCCGCTGGTGTGTGCAATCATGCTGGGGAACCAGAGCCAGGAGTCCTGGAGGAACCTGACAGTCTACAGTAAGAAGGGCAGGGGTGAGGCTCTCAGGGGACATGGCCTGCCGTGGGGGCTGGGCTCACTGTCTGTTCCGCCTCAGGTTTCCCAGCTCCCAACCTGACCCTGAGCGAGCAGGAGGTTTCAGAAGGGACCCAGGTGGAAGTGGCGTGTGAAGCCTCCGTTGGCCTCAGGGTGAGGCTGAGCGACGCCCCAGCTGAGCCATGGGCCCCAAGCGTCCAATTCCTGCTGAACGCCACAGCTGAGGACAACGGTCGCCATTTCTCTTGCTCTGCTGCCTTGGAGGTGGCTGGGCACCTGCTGTACAAGAACCAGACCAAGGAGCTTCGGGTCCTGTGTGAGTGGAGGTCTTAGACAATGACCCCTGCCCTTGTGGCCCAGCCCAAAGGCCCGGTGAACTCTTGCCCTCCAAGGCCTGTCCCCACCCCTGGTAGTCCTGGATGTGAGGGGGTGTCCTTGTCCCCCTTTTGCTCATCCTGCTGTTTCCCTAGACGGGCCCCGACTGGACGAGAGTGACTGCCTGGGGAACTGGACGTGGCCAGAAGAGACCAACCAGAAGCTGTCCTGCCAGGCATGGGGTAACCCGGTCCCTCAGCTGACCTGTCTTCGGGAAACGGATGGGGCTCTGCTGCCCACTGGGGACCTGAGACCTGTCAAGAAGCAGTATGAGGGCACCTACATCTGCAAGGCAGAGAGCCCTCGTGGAGCCGTCACCCGGAAGGTGTTCTTGACCGTGCTCAGTGAGTGTGCCAGTGTGCGGGGCTGCGCGCAGGTGGGAACAGAGATCCTAGCTTGATCCTCAGTCCCTTGTGTCCTTCCAGCAGCCGGGAAAAATGTGCTCATCATCGTTCTGTTGACGGCTGGGGCCATCCTGGGCGCTGTGGTCGTGGCCACTTACCTCTATAACCGCCAACGGAAGATCAAGATATACAAGCTCCTGAAGGCGCAGGAGGCCGCCGCCATGAAGCTGAACACACAGGCCACGCCCCCCTGAGCCCGCCCCGAGACAGGGCCTCCTTCTCGCCGCCCCCTCATCTGCATGGTGTTGCACGAAAGAGAAGGGTGGACAGAAGCCCTTTGGCTACGTCCACCTCCTCAGGGTAACAGGATAGGACAGTGGCCTGAGGATGCAGACAACATTTGGTGTCGTGGCATCTGCACAAATAGGATCTCCAGGCCTCACACCTGACCCGCAGTCACAGTCTGAGCCAAAAGGAGACGGCAAGACCTGGACACATGTCAGATCTGACCAGGACAGTGGGGGAGTGATGGCCGTGGACCTTGTGGATCCACAGCCTGGAAATACTGAGGTTCACTCCCTACTGCCTATGCCGGGGCCCCACAGCCCGAAGGAAGAATAAACCCACAGACCTAGGTAGCAGTGAAACAAAAAGGCCCGTACATCCTCTAAGGCTCTGACACTGCTGTCCAGTTGTCCCCAACTCTTGATGATGATGTATTTATTAATTTGGTATTTTGCCAGCTATTTATTGCATATCTTTTATGTAGGCTACAGTGGTGAACAAGGTGAACATAGGTTCTCACTCTCATGGAATTCTCAGTCTAATTACATTCAGAGTCGCCAGGTAGAGTTGTCCTGGCTGGGCACTGCACAAGAGTGCCTGGTAAAAAGATCAAGTGGGGCTGGACTTTCATACTCCATTGGCCAAGCTGCTTTCTCCCAGAAAGGGTGCTTTTTCTGTCAGGCATTAAGGCACCGTAGGAGCTAGCAATGATGACATGCTTGGCCACCACTCACTGAGACCTTACTACTTCCCCTTCTCAGCACTGGTGCTGTTAATCACCTCTCCACCCACATGTTTCTCAGCCTATGTTCTCAGTGATCCTCAGTGACTATGCCCCTCCTGTGCAGCGACACTATAAAGTCCCATGAAATTCTTCCCAACTGTGTATCCCACCTTATCTCACCTGTCTCTGCCTCAGTGGGACCATGAGGGAATAGAACACCGTGCAGCTCCAAAACCCTTCAGTGTTCAGGACACTGGGGGAAGTGATGGGGGTCCAGTACTGCAAGGCTTTGGACCCCCTCCCACCTCAGGAAGCCTCTCCTTTATGCCAATAAAGTTTTTTCATCAGCCTCAGCGTCAGCCTCTGTGAGGAGAGAAAACCCTGTCACATCTACTGGAAGAAACTCTATGTAGCCCAGCCACAGCTCCTAACCTCCCACTTCCTCTCCCAAGAGAAGGTTGCCTGTTGGCTCAACTCTGAGGCTTTGTTCTAAATCTGGGAGTTTAAAAAAAATTATCTGGACCCGGGTCCACAAAATTGAAATGACAACTGGTTGTCAATGGGGTCTGGAATCTCATTCCTGGGCCAAAAGGGATGGATATCTTCTGCAGGGCTCCTGGGTCCCCTGGGGATCTCGGGGCCCCTCTCTGGGCGGGTCTAAGGAGGCGGGACTACGAATCTCCTATCTCCAGAGCCAGTGGTGGCTCTCTGGCGCCAGGCCCTTCAGCGCGGGCTTTCTGCCATGGGGTCTCTGCTCCTCCTGTCGCTGCTGCTTTTGCTGGTGACCGTGGATCCAGGAGATGGAGGCGTGCTGGGGAGCCAGGCTGAGCGTGTGCAAGGCACCAGCGGCAGCCCTCCCGCCCCCTCGGGGACACCAGCGCCCTTCTGGGTACGCATTAGTCCGGAGTTGGTGGTGGTACCGCAGGGGGGCTCAGTGCGGCTTAACTGCAGCAATAGCTGCCCCCTGCCGGAAAGTTCCAGCACCCAGCTGCAGCCGGAAAGTTCCAGTGTCGGCACCCAGCTGCTGCTGGGCAAGACGCTCAGTGGGCCAGGTTGGGTATCTTACCAGCTGCTGAATGTGAGGGCTTGGAGCTCCGACGTACACTGCTTCGTCACCTGCGCAGGAAAAACGCGAGAGGCCACCGCCAGGATCACCGCCTACAGTGAGGGACAGGGGTACAGGTCCAGCTGGGGTGAGGGGAAGAAGGTGAAGGATGGGGTAGTTGAAAGTCGCGAGAGGGGGCGCCCGCGGACCTTACGGTGGGGCTCCCCTCTTGCTTTAGAGCGGCCTCGCAGCGTTATCCTGGAACCACCGATCTTGGTTGGCCAGGAGTACTTTCTGCGCTGCCACGTGACGCACGTGTTCCCAGTGGGCTCCTTGATGGTGATCCTGAGGCGCCGCGGCCAGGTCATCTATTTCGAAAGCTTGGAGCACTTCCAAGATTTGAATCTGGCCAATGTGACGCTGACCCATGTTTTGCGCACTGGGCCCAGCAACCTATGGCAACCGTTGACCTGCCACGCGCGCCTCAGTCTCCACGGTCTGGTGATACACAGCAGCTCAGCACCTATTATGCTAACAGCCTTAGGTGAGGCACCTGGGGACTTGGGGGAGGGAGGTTATGACTTCAGGATGGTGTGCAGACCTAATGACCACATAGTGGTCGCCAGACCTCTATGTGCACCTTTCCTAATTCTCACCTCCTGCTCCCAGCTTGGAACCCCGCCTCCAAAGCCTTGGCCTCCATCTCCATCGCAGCCCTTGTGGGGATCCTTCTTGCCATGGGGGCTGCCTACCTGTGCAAGTGCCCAGCTAAGCAGCCCGGGCTTAGAAAGCTATTCTATGCCAACCAAGCCAAAGGAAAAAGAAGTCTGGTACAATTTAGTAAACCCAGCTTGGATCAATAAAGCTTCCTTGACCAGTCTCTGTCACACAGCCTAACGGTCCTTAGAGGAAAGTGTCTCCTTTACTGGCCCTGCTTTCTTAAAATTCTTTGTCTTGCTTAGTTAGGCACTTGAGGTTTCTCCCTCAAGGCCTACTTGAGGTTCCAGGGCCCCAGTACCTCTGCATTCCCAACCGGTGTAGTAAAAAAACATCTGCTAGCATTATCAGTGAGGTGCAGATGGGCTAAATGGGGCCCTGGAGGGGCCTTGGGCTGGGGGAGGGCTGGTTCATTATACAGCTTTTCCTCATTGGCTCCGTCGCTACCACGCAGCAGCTCTGATTGGATGTTAAGTTTCCTTTCCCACCCCCATCTCCACTTTACACAGTCGGCTTTCCAGGAGGCCAACATCGGAGGGGTCCTCATCCCCACAGCCCACCATTAGCGTTGAGGAACAGAAAATAAGTGGGTGGGGTCATATAGGGTCACGTATTGCGGGAAAGGGATACCCAGACGAACTATCTATGTAGTGACAGCAAGAGAGAGAGGTCATCAGATGGTCCACGTAGGTTGTCAGAGCCTGGTGTCCTAGCAACGTCCTGGTAGTCACTGGGCCAGGTGGGCATATGGGAGGTGTCAAAGCTTGGGACCCAGATGCAGGGTCAAAAGCGTGACATTTGACTTCTCGGTCTCACGAAGATGCAGAATTTAGGCCCGCTCAGGGTACCTAGCGGAGCCGACACTGTCCAGGGCCCCGCCCGCCCCGAGGAAGGCGCGTTCAGAAGCGCTCCCTGGGAAGCTTGCGCTCGCACAGGCGGGTAGACACATGCCCGCTGCACGCTGGGTAAATACAGACCCCGAGCCGAGCCGATTCTAATTTAGACGCCCGCGAACGCTGCGCGCACGCACACGTGTCTCCGACTCGCTGGCACTTTCGTCCCCGCCCCCTCGTCGCGTGCCGGAGCCGAGCGGGAGGACTAGAGGTGTGGTTGTCATCCTCAGCTCCTCGGGGTCAGAGGACGGTTCAGTGGAAGGAGGCATCCCCACACCGTCCTCTAGACCCGTCTTTTCCCCACACGGTGTTGCTCAAACCTCTGTTAAGCTCCAAATCAATCCCCGCCCCAAGGGGCGCTGGTAGGAGGAGCTAAACCTGCGGGCGGAGCTCAAGCCCAGCTTGTTATCCTAGCGTCTAAACCAGGGTGGGTGGAGGTTTGGGCAGGGCAACCCAGCATCCCCCCACCTCCGCGTCGCGGCCGAGGATGACGCGGGAGAGCGTGGTCGTCCCCAGAAGGCTCCAGGAGATCGGGCCGACCTCCATGTAAACCCAGGGGTCGCTCACTCCTGCCGGCTCGCCTTCGCCAAGGCCTGGAGCCCAGTGCACGCTCGCCTCCCGCCCCCCGCCGCCTCTGCCGCCGCCCCCTCCTTGGAAACCAAGTTACCAACGTTTAAACCAATCCCCGAGCGCAACTCTGCCTCCCCCACACTCCACCCGCCGCGCCGCGCCGTCCTCTAGCCGGGCTCGTCACTCGCGCTCCCCTCGCTTCCTTCGCTTCCCCCGCGGCGGCGATGCCAGGGCCTTCGCCAGGGCTGCGCCGAGCGCTACTCGGCCTCTGGGCTGCCCTGGGCCTGGGGATCCTTGGCCTCTCAGGTAAGAGCCCGCTGCTGCTGGGGGTGGACAGAGCTGGGGCGGAGTTGCCAGACCTGAGCAGCGGCCTTACGCCCCTCCCAGCTCCGCCCTCTCCTCGCTCCCACGCTTCTGCTCCCCACCTTGAGCCCCTGTCTCCCTCCCCCCACCACGCACAGAGACCCAGCCTCGTGACTCCTGGCCCTCCTACTCCCTTCGAGATGGAGGGTGTTCTTTTGCACCCAACCCTGTGCCCTAGAGACCCCGTGGCTCTCCTGTCCCTTCCCCGGGTACCTCCTCGCTCTGTGTGGTGCACTGTGGACCATGGACTGGCGTCTTTCCCACTCACGCTCAGCAAAGACCCTATCTCCTCAACTCATGACTCAGAGGCGCTGTTCCCGCTCCATTCGGAGCCCTGGCAACCGGGTCGTTCCCGCGGTTCCTTCCAAGCGTCCAGCCCCGCGTCCTCTTTCCATATTCTTTACCCAGGATTGGGGTCCTCCCGTATCCTTGACTCAGGCACAACTCAGCTTTGCCCTCACTCCAACCTCAGTCTCCTGGCGATCTGCCAGGACCTTGAGAACTCGTTCATTCCCCATCCCCCACCTGGAGTCCCCTCCTCCCAGCGTTGCTGTGTGCATCGAAGACCCCATTTTCCCTCTCTTCCCCTCCCATCATGTTTTCCCACCACTTCATTGGAGCCTTGGAGACCAGGGCTCACCGTTGCCATGTCCCAGAGACACCCTCAAGGTTTGGACTCTGGGAGCACACATCCAAACCTGAGGCCCGGGCAGGACGCGGGACTCCTGGGTTCTTTCCTGACTGTGGCCTCTGCTCGTCCCTCGGGGACCCCTGACTCAGTGTAGGGGCACTGAGGTCTCAGGCTGAGCCCGCGTTTCCCCGGGCAGCGGTCGCGCAGGAGCCCTTCTGGGCAGACCTGCAGCCCCGCGTTGCGCTTGTGGAGCGCGGGGGCTCGCTGTGGCTGAACTGCAGCACCAACTGCCCTCGGCCGGAGCGCGGTGGCCTGGAGACCTCGCTGCGTCGAAATGGGACCCAGAGGGGCTTGCGCTGGCTGGCGCGGCAGCTAGTGGACATCCGCGAGCCAGAGACCCAGCCCGTCTGCTTCTTCCGCTGCGCTCGGCGCACACTACAGGCGCGTGGGCTCATTCGCACTTTCCGTGAGTTCTGTGTGGCCAAGCTTATACTCCACTACTTTCCTTCCCTTCCAAGGCCCCGCCCCAGGGTTCCGGGGTCCTCCCCTTTAGGCTCCACCCTCTCGATTCCCACGCTCACCCTTCTGGGTCTTACCTCCCTAAGCCCCAGCGTTTTCAATAGCAGCGATTCCCATTTTGCAGAGCGGCCAGATCGCGTAGAGCTGGTGCCGCTACCTGCCTGGCAGCCCGTGGGCGAGAACTTCACCCTGAGCTGTAGAGTCCCGGGCGCCGGTCCCCGCGGGAGCCTCACACTGACCCTGCTGCGCGGGGCTCAGGAGCTGATCCGCCGCAACTTTGCCGGCGAGCCACCCCGAGCGCGGGGCGCGGTGCTCACCGCCACGGTACTGGCGCGGAGAGAGGACCATGGAGCTAATTTCTCGTGTCGCGCGGAGCTGGACCTTCGGCCGCATGGCCTGGGACTGTTTGAAAACAGCTCCGCCCCCAGAGAGCTCCGAACCTTCGGTGAGTGGGTGTGGGGTCCCCAACTTGGGGCGGGCTGATTTTTAAGTTTAGAGACATATGCATCTGAATGCTACTCCTTACTTCAACGCTCACCCGCTGAGTTATTTTCGTCTATGCCTTAAGACTGATAATATAAGATAGTGAATGTGAAATGCTTAGTACATATCAACTGCTCAGTACATAAATTTAAGCTCTATTCTTCGACCCTAGCCTTGTCTCCAGACTCCCCGCGCCTCATTGCTCCCCGGCTCCTAGAAGTGGGCTCAGAAAAGCCGGTGAGCTGCTCTTTGGACGGACTGTTTCCAGCCCCGGAGGCTGGGGTTTACCTCGAATTAGGAGATCAGAGACTGAATCCTTATGTCACACTCGAGGGGGACGCCCTCATGGCCACTGCTACGGTCACCGCAAGCGCAGAGCAGGAGGGTGCCAGGCAGCTGGTCTGCACCGTGACCTTGGGGGGCGAAAGCCGAGAGACCCGGGAGAACCTAACGATCTACAGTAAGGAGCTGCGCACCCAGATTTCCGCGACCTAGGGGTGGGGCCAAAACCACTCAAAGGCGGGGCGATGAGTGGGCGGGATCCCAGTACCTGAACAGGCATGGCCAGAGAATTTTTAAAGGACTGACAGATAGAGGTTGGGAAGTTGGCTGCAACCCGGGAAACGCTCCGGGAGATAAGGGGCGGGCTTTGACCCGTAGGAGGGGCGTGGTCTGCGGACTCCCGGCAATGCTCGGTCCCCAGGCTTCCCCGCGCCCCTCCTGAACCTGAGTGAACCCAACGCCCCTGAGGGGAAGATGGTGACAGTAACCTGCACAGCCGGGGCTCGGACCCTGGTCGCACTGGAGGGAATTCCAGCTGCTGTTCTGGGGCAGCCCGCCCAACTCCAGCTAAACGTCACTGAGAATGATGACAGGCGCGGCTTCTTCTGCGAAGCCATCCTCGAGGTGGATGGGGAGATCTTGAGCAAGAACGAGAGCGCGGAGCTTCGCGTCCTATGTGAGTTAATGTTAACCCATCGCCCAGCTCCTAGTGACCTCCAATCACCTGCTCACTCTCCGATCGCGATCGCATAGTGGAAGCGGGGGTCATTCATCGCAAGCCACTTTTAGCCTCTTGTATCCCACGCCCCTGTCCACAGATGGTCCCCGGCTGGACGACTCTGATTGTCCCAGAAGCTGGACGTGGCCAGAGGGCCCAGAGCAGACACTGCGCTGCGAGGCCCGAGGAAACCCAGCGCCCTCAGTGCATTGCGCGAGGCCCGACGGCGGGGCTGTGCTGGCGCTTGGCCTACTGGGTCCGGTCACTCGCGCACTCGCGGGCACTTACCGCTGCACAGCGGTCAATGTACAGGGCGAGGCGGTCAAGGACGTGACACTAACAGTAGAATGTGAGTAGTGGGGTACCCAGGGCGCGTCTCTTTCTGGTTCTCAGGGCCTAAGCGGGGCTGACCTATAGGAAAGTATAAGAATAGGGTTTGAAGTGTGTCTCTGGGCAGGATTTGGGAAAAGGGAAGAGGCTGGTGAGGAAGCGGCATCAGGGACCAATCTTGGAAAAGGATGGGGGCGTGGGTGTGTGGGTATACTCTGGCAAAAATGGGCGGTCTGAGTGGCCAAAAATTTTAGGCTGAAGACTGGAGAGGGCCTGTGGGTTCATTGTGGGAATTAGAAAAATGCCCCTACTCAGGGCTCATGGAGCTTGATTAGCTACACCCTTTTGGCTAGCAGTCCCTGCAGGGCACAGCCTGCCCAACCCAGCCTGGCGCTGGGACCCAAAAAGGGTCACTAAGGTCATCACATCGGTCCCCAGACCTCAAACCCAACAACATACGCCTCCTTTCAGATGCACCGGCGCTAGACAGTGTGGGCTGCCCAGAACAGATTACTTGGTTGGAGGGAACAGAGGCCTCGCTGAGCTGTGTGGCACACGGGGTCCCTCCGCCCAACGTGAGCTGTGTACGCACTGGGGAGGCCAAAATTGTCGAAGGGCTGCTGCGCGTGGCTCGGGAGCATGCAGGCACTTACCGATGCGAAGCCACCAATGCTCGAGGTTCTGCAGCTAAAAATGTGGCTGTCACGGTGGAATGTGAGTAGAGGCGGCTCAGGACAAGATAGGGTTTGTGGGCACCACCCAGACCAGCTTTCTGTCCCCTATGTGAACCCCTGCTTCCTTGTGTCCCAGATGGCCCCAGTTTTGACGAGCTGAGTTGCCCCAGCAACTGGACCTGGGTGCAAGGATCTGGACGACTGTTTTCCTGTGATGTCGAAGGGAAGCCAGAGCCAAACGTGGAGTGCGTGGGCTCTGAGGGTGCCAGTGAGGGGACGGTGCTGCCGTTGGCAAGCTCAAACCCTAATCCTAGAGACCCCGCTATTGCTAGTGACCTGACACCTGGTATCTACATCTGCAACGCCACCAACCGGCACGGCTCCATGGTCAAAACAGTTGTCGTGAGCGCGGAGTGTGAGCGGAGCCCAGGTGGGCGGGAGTAAGGGGTGTCCCCAGGGTCCCGGGCCCCCTCCCTGACGCCCTCTACTGGCTACTCTGCAGCGTCGCCACAGATGGATGAGTCCACCTGCCCAAGTCATCAGACATGGCTGGAAGGGGCTAAACCTGCAGCGCTGGCCTGCACCGCCCGAGGTCAGCCCTTCCCACAAGTGCACTGCTCCAGAGAGGGTGCGCCCCAGCCTGAGAGGCAGCGCGTGTCCCGAGAGGATGCGGGTACCTATCTCTGTGTGGCCACCAATGCTCATGGCACAGATTCCCGGACCATCACTGTGGGCGTGGAATGTGAGTGCAGGCCTTTCCTGATGCAAGGGACTCTGTCCCTGGAAAAGTGATTTGCAGGGTGACAGAGCCCACGGAAGTTCAGCGGCACCTCTCCCAGTCCCATTTTTGGGAGCAGGGAGTTCTGGCCTAAACCTGGGTGGTAATGAAAATTCTAGGGAACAGGAACTCGCTCCGGCTCGCTTAAATCCTGGATGGATAGTGGCAAAGCTCCACCTCCTCCCATTCAATAAGAAGGGAGCAAAATTTATGTCCTAAAATACTGACTGTGGAGGGAAGGTGCTCTGACGCGAGCAGCATTTTCTCCCCCTCACCGGAAAAGAGGAGGCTTCAGGCCGATTATGATGGGCCAGAGTAGGGCACCTGGGTAACCGCTGAGCAGCCGCTCAATCGGTCTTCACCCCTTTGACCCCTGCAGACCGTCCGGTAGTTGCGGAGCTGGCCGCCTCACCCTCGAGCGTGCGGCCAGGCGGGAACTTCACATTGACCTGCCGCGCAGAGGCCTGGCCTCCAGCCCAGATCAGTTGGCGCGCACCCCCGGGAGCCCTCAACATCGGCCTGTCGAGCAACAATAGCACGCTAAGCGTGGCGGGCGCTATGGGCAGTCACGGCGGGGAGTACGAGTGCGCCGCCACCAACGCGCACGGGCGCCATGCACGGCGCATCACGGTGCGCGTGGCTGGTAAGTGACAGCTGGGGGTGGAGCAAGGGATCTGCTGGAGGGTGTGACCCGGGCCTTGGGGCTCGGGTCAGTATCAATCTCTGCCTCTCAATCCCAAAAGACGAGACCAAAGTGGGTCAAAGTAGAAGTCAACGCGCCTGACGAATGGGGCTCTTGATGGAAGATCAGGGGTGGGAGGCGGAGGTCGGGAGGAAGGTCAGCTCCAGGGGGAGGGACCCTTCAGAGCTGTGACAGCTGTGGGAGGCTCTGATGAACTTGGAGTGGGTTTTGGGGTAGAGGGTGAGGATGACTTGACCTAACTCACCCTCCACTATGGCGCTGTGGGGAAGGGGGACCCAGGGAAGCTGATGGGGGTCAACGAGGTGCCCTCCCCCATTAAATGTAGCTCCTGGGGATGGTTCTCTCTGGGGTGGAGAAACTGCGCTGGCCTCACTGGTCTTCGTCCTTTTGGGAATGGAGAGAATTGACTCACCACTATGGGGTCAAGGGCTTGTATTCGCATGGGGTGTCAACTGGGTCTGCGGTCCCACTGCCCCTAGAGGGCCTTAGGTGCTCTCCAACTTCTCACAGGCCGGGCTCACTTCCCTGGGGCTCACATGCCAGATGCATGAAGTCTGACCTCGTGTTCATGCCAGGGGACAGGGACTGGGGGTGGGAGGAGCCTGGCGCTTTCCCACCCTCGTGAAAATTTCCACGCGGCAGGTCCGTGGCTGTGGGTGGCCGTGGGCGGAGCGGCCGGGGGCGCGGCGCTGCTGGCGGCTGGGGCGGGCCTGGCCTTCTACGTGCAGTCCACAGCCTGCAAGAAGGGCGAGTACAACGTCCAGGAGGCCGAGAGCTCAGGAGAGGCCGTGTGCCTCAACGGCGCGGGCGGGGGCGCCGGCGGGAGCGCGGAAGGTGGACCCGAGACTGGGGGCTCCGCGGAGTCGCCGTCGGGGGGCGAGGTCTTCGCCATCCAGCTGACTTCCGCGTGACCTGCTCCCCTCTCCCCGCGGGCCGGGGGCCGCCCCCCAGGCGCACACGGGGGCTTATTTATTGTTCTATCTATTTATTTATTTATTCATTTATTTATTTATTCAACTCCAGGGGTATCACCCCTATTTTCTACCCATCTCCCCCAATAAAGTTTTTATAAAGGACTCTCGGTCTCAGCTTCTGTGGATGCAAAATGAGACAATGTGGTCGAATCCCGATTGCGACGATTATTCCTCCAAAAGACTTTTTTTTTTTTTTTTTTTTTGAGAGCCTACTATGTGTCAGGCGTTAGGCACGTGACACGCCGCCTGTGAGCAGTGTGATCTGGAGCTTTACCTCCCTGTTCCCAGTTTCCTGCCATCACAGGACCCTTGGGCAGGGGTGGGGACCAGCTCCTTCCTCCTCCTCCCTGTTGCTTATCTCTTCCGTCCAGCTCTGACCTCCGATCTGCCCCCTGACCCAGCTAGATCCTGAAGGTGGGAGATCAGGTGCTTTCCCCAGGTCTGTTTACCGGCAGAGCCACGCCGCCTTGCCGGGAGAGGCCAAGCAGTCCTTCCCAAGTGGTGGGATGGGTGGAGGGAGGAGCAGTGGCTGCAGTTGTGGGTGTCAGCCCTCCTGTTAAAGGACTACTGCTGCCCCCACCCCAAAGCTTCCTCCAGCCAGTGTCCACCCACACTGCCTCAGTTTACCCCAACCTGCTTTATCACTTGACCCATCATGATTCAGAGCTAACACAGGGGATCAGCAGCAACCCCCACGCACATCACCATCCCTCCAATGGCATAAGGAGAGAACAGCTGGGCCTCCCCCTCTCTCCCTCCTCCCTCAAAAACAGGAACACAGAGCTCTGGAGAAGGAAGTTCGCCTGGGCAGCTCCAAGCTTCATTGGCTGCCCCCATGCGAACATTTAATGAGCAAAGATGAGAACAGGAAGGAGGGCATGAGAGGGCAAACTGGTTCTGGGTGTTAAGTGCCAGGGACAAAAAGCAACAAAGCACAGGCAAGTTAGAGTCCCTGCTGGGCTCCCCCCCAAGTCTCTACCACTTCCCCTGGCCTCCTCCAGATCCCCTGAAGCCCACAAAATCTTGCCTGCCTGTCCTGTCCTTTGGTTTGGTTTTGTTGATAGTGAGGGTTGAACCCTGGGGTGCTCTACCACTAAGCTACACCCCCAGCCCTTTTTATTTCGAGATAGAGTCTCACTAAGATGAGGCTGGCCTCAATCTCCCTGCAGAGTACCTGGTATTACAGGTGTGCACTACCATGCCCAGCCCATGCTGTTCCTTCTGACGGGGGAGTCCTCACCTCCAGGTCCCTTTGCTAGTTCCCTAACTTTTTTTTTTTTTTAAGTATTTGTTTTTTATTTGTAGTTGGACACAGTACTTTTATTTTGTTTATTTATCTTTATGTGGTGCTGAGAATCAAACCCAGGGCCTTGCATGTGCTAGGCAAGCACTCTACCACTGAGCCACAACCCCAGCCCTAGTTCACTATCTTGAGGTCTCTATGCCAAGTCAATCCCTGAGGGGACCTTCCCTGAGCCCCATGGATAAAGTAGCCCCTCAATTCTTTTTGTGGGGGGGGGTACCTGGGGATTGAACTCAGGGGCACTCAACCACTGAGCCACATCCCCAGCCCTGTTTTGAATTTTATTTAAGAGACAGGGTCTCACTGAGTTGCTTAGTGCCTTTCTTTTGCTGAGGCTGGTTTTGTACTCATGATCCTCCTGCCTCAGTCTCTCCAGTTGCTGGGATTACAGATGTGTGCCACCGCATCTGGCTCAATTCCTCTTACACATTTTTCTGCAGCCCAGATCACTACTTAAGATTCTATTCGGGGGCTGAGATTGTGGCTCAGTGGTAGAGCGCTTGCCTAGCATGTGCGAGGCCCTGGGTTCGATCCTCAGCACCACATAAAGATAAAAAATAAAGATACTGTGTCCAATTACAACTAAAAAAAAGATTCTATTTGATATTTTATTGAAATTGTATTTATTTTTAAGAAATGGGGTCTCTCTGTGTTTCCCAGACTGAATTCACCTCCTGGGCTCAAGTGAGTCTCCTCCCTCAGCCTCCTGAGTAGCTGGGCCTTCAGGTGTACACCACTGCACCAGCTAACTGAATATTGCTCTCTCAGCCTAGAATATTGGCCCCAGCAGATCATTGATCTTTTTCATTTTTAAATTTTTTTATAACTTTATTTATTTATATGTGGTGCTGAGGATCGAAACCAGGACCTTGCAGGTGCGAGGCAAATGATGTTCTACCACTGAGCCATAACCCCAGCCCCTAAATTTTTTTTCCTTTTTTTTTTTTTTTTTTGCAGTACTGGGGATTGAATCCAGGAACACTATCACTGAGCTATACCCCTAGCTATTTTTAATTTTAGATAGGCTCTAAGTTCTGGAGGCTAACCTTGAACTTGCCATCCTCTGGCCTTGGCCTCCTGAGTCACTGGGATTACAGGATGTACCATAGTACTGTACATTGTTCTTTTTTTTTTTAATATATTTTTAAAAAAAATTTTAGTTGTAGTTGGATACAACACCTTTAATTCACTTATTTTTATGTGGTGCTGAGGCTTGAACCCAGGGTCCTGCACATGGGAAGTGAGTGCTCAACCACTGAGCCACAACCCCAGCCCTGTACTTTGTTCTTTCTATTCACCCAGTATCCCCACTTCGGCACACAATAGATGCTCAATAAATGGGTAAAAACAGTTGTGAATCTGCAGAGACCTTGATGAGTTCAATGTGTGACCTCAAGTTTTTCCATGCTGGGCACTGGGGAGGCCTCTTGTGGTCAAGCACACAGATGTGGCCACCTTGGACCTAAGTCATGGTCTAGTGGGAGAGAGATGAATGTGATTAAATACTTTTGGGCCAGATAGAGAAATGAAACTTCTGGCAGGTTCTAAGAGGGATACCGGCAAGGAGCTGAACTTGAGACTGATGTGGGCTGGGTGTGGAGTTCTGTTTTAGAGTCGGTGGTTTAGGAAGGCTTCCCTGAAGGGGTGATATTAAGTTTTTCCAAATGACAAGAAGGTAGCAGCCCTGGGGAGATGTGGAGGGAAGATGTTTTAGGCCGAAGAAAGGTTAGCAATGATCTGAGGGCTGAGAAATATGGGCCCCGGGGCTTTTCCTACAGCTGTACTCAGGTGAGACTAGGAGGGTCTCGCAGGTTTGTACTCTCTCACCTCCTGCAGTAGGCAGCAGACCCAATCTTGATGCAACTCACCTTTATTTATTTATTTATTTATTTATTTATTTTTGCAGTGCTGAGGATGGAAGCCAGGGCTTGCTGGCTAAGTGCTCCACCACTGAGTCACAGCCCTGGCCCACCCCATCCATTCTTGGGCTCTTTCTTCTCCCTCTCAATAAGCTCTGGTGACTTGTGCCTCCCAGTTGCCCAGGGCTGGTTCCCCTGGTCAGTTTTTGGTTTGGGGTTGGGGGGGCATCTCTTGAAGAGGGGGGAGGGGAACACAGCAGGGTTGGTATGCTCAAGGGTGCAGGGAGGGTGACAGTCTGAAAGCAGGGGTGAGGCTAGCAGATGAAGGGCCCACCTGTGTGTCGGTCGGCATGCATCTGTCCCCTGTGCGATGACACACAGGTGTCTGTCACTGGCTGTGTCTATTGATTTGTGTGGTCAGTCTGTATCTGTGTGTCTTTCACATGTGGGTGTCAGCACATGCATTTGTCTTGTGCATCTATGTGTGTTGTTTGTGTGGTGACTGTTTTCCGGTATAGGACACTGTGCTGAGTGAATGTGGTTAATTCTTGTGTTGGTCTGTATATAACTCTCTGTGTGTGTGTGTGTGTGTGTGTGTGTTCCTCACAACCCCAATGAAACACCTGCCCCCATCTTCCCAGGATGGGGAGAAGTGAAGGAAAGTACTCAGAATGGGATTCCCAAATCACACTGCTCTGAGTAGCTCAGGCTTTCTCAAAGTATTAATAGCAATAACAATAGTCACAGCTGAAACAGTTTCCTTTATTTGGAGTCCAATCAAGCCCGACTGGAGAAGGGGCTGAACCAGGGGGGTGACCTCATGAAACAGGGAGTCTGGGGACTGAGCCTGGATATTCTTCCTGGGAGAGACAGGAGACAGGCTTGACTTTCCTTACTCCTAGGAGTTCTACCCATTCTTCCCCTAGGAAAACTGAGGCAGAACCAGGTCACTTGAGTGAAGAAGGGCTTACATTTCCTGAGTTGGGTCTTGGTGGGGGTCCATGGACAACCCACATCTGCCACACAGCTTCTTGGGCTGGACACTTTTCCTGGGCACCAGCCAGCAACTGGAACAACGGGTACCATATTTCTTGTACCTGGGATGGAGATACAAGAAATTATCATTTAAGATGCAGCAGTGGGGCTGGGCATGTAGCTCAGCAGTGGAGAAAGGCCCTGGGTTTGATCCTCAGCACCACATAAAAATAAATAAATAAGATAAAGGAATTGCGTCCATCTACAACTAAAAACAAAAGATACAGCAGGGACCCAGAAACTATCATGAGGAAGCCATTTTCCTCAAGAGGTACCTCTTCTTCCCAGATCCCCCCACACTAATGGGGGGCCCGACCCCAACTCCCTCCTCCATGCTGAGGACCTGATACCACAGGCATTGCAGAGAGGGGTCCCATCTTCAGCATCTCTCCAGAGTGGGGTCCTCTGGGTCCTACAGGAGGCACAGCATCGTGGAGCTGGAGGGTCAGAGGTCAAAGGGCAAAGATCAGAGTCAAGAATCTGAATTCAAGAGACCTGTGGAGGTAGGGCATTGTGTGTGGGGGGTCCCTGTGAAGGCCCCACCTGGTTCTGGGCCAGCCTTGGGTGTTGTTAAAGACAGGGAAAGCCAGGAAGAGGGACAGATGGTGCAGCTCAGCAGGGGAGGAAGCTGGGGGTGGGGTGACTCAGCCTGAAGGGAGGGGTGCACTCCAACTCCTGGGCAGGTCTAAATGGGGAAGCGGGAGGGGGAGGGGGCAGGGAGACAGAGGCAGGGAGGACAAGAAGTTGGCCCCCCCCAAATATTTACAGCTCTTACATCTTCAGGACTCACCCTGGGCCTCGCTGCCTCCAGGGTTGGGCTCAGGGGCACTGGCAGGGCTTGCGGGTGGTCCCTGAGAGTGGCTGCTGCGGGGCAGATGAGACATTAGCATTGGGGATCAGCGTCCTGTCCCCTGAACACTCATTATCAAGGTATCTGGCAGCCCTAGGAGACAGTCGGAGTCTGAATGATAAGATATCATTCCAAGGGTGGTGTGCTGGGATACAGGCTCAAGTGCCAGTTCTCCCCCTTGCCTGCTGTGTGGCCCTGGACCAGCTACATCCTCACCCTCGAGGCTTCAGTTTTCTAACCTGTACAATGGGCATCATGAGCCCATGTACATGGAGTGCTGCCTGTTGCCAGGGCCGTAGTGATGTCTGTAACCCTAGCAACTCAAGAGGCTGAGGCAGGATGGCAAGTTCAAAGCCAGCCTGGGCAAGTTAGCAAGACTCTGTTTCCAATTTAAAAAAAAGAAAAAGAAAGGACTGAGGATGCGGCTCAGTGGAAAAGTGCCCTGGGCTCAATTCCCAATACCAAAACATAAACGTGTTGCCTGTAACCATTTTTTCTTTCTTTTTTTATTTTTTTTTTGTGGGGGGGGGGCGGAGTACTGGGGATTGAACCCAGGAGCACTTAACCACTGAGCCACATCCCCCCCTTTTTAATTTTTTTTGCAACAGGGTCTTGCTAAGTTGCTTAGAGCCTCACTTTTGGGGAAAGTATACAGCTGCCCTCAGTATGGACCAGCCTGTTTGACAGAGGGGACCAAGTCTCAGTGGAGACAGAGGCAGGGCTGGACATGGCACTGGCCTGAGGTCTTAATCAGACTGAGCCATCCCTCATGTGGAAGGACTGACTCCAGGGCATCTGTCTCCCAATACTTTCCTTTCTTCTGGTGGTGTGCTGGGAGTTGAACCTAGGGCCTTGCAAATGCTAGGCAATCACCATACGCTGAGCCACATTCCAGTCCCCATCAATGTCCTGGTCCTTTCTTGGATGTACATGTCAGCCCTCCCTATCCAGGGATTCTGTATCCAAGACCACAACCAATTGTAGGGTTGTCTTAGTAGGCAGGAGGCCCTGGAGGCCCATCCCTAGCATCGTAAAAATAACAACAAAAATCTGGTCAGGTGTGGTGGTGCACCTTGTAATGCCAGAGGCTTGGGAGGCTGAGGCAGGAGGACTGCAAGTTCAAAGCCAACCTCAGCAACTTAAGAGGCCCTAAGCAACTCAGTGAGACACTGTCTGGAAAGGAAACATAAACAAGGGCTGGGGATGTGGCTCAGTTGTTAAGCACCCTGGGTGCTTTCAATCCTGGTACAGAAAAAAAGAAAGTAAGAAAAGAAACAAACCAACCAAACAAAAAACCTCTGTGGATTGTAAATATTTGAGGAGAAGGGAGCAGGTATGAAGAATAGTAGAATGAACTGGACATTCCGACCCTATGTGCATGTATGTGTACAACTAGAAGAATGAGCAGTCATATTCCATCTATGCCCGATGTGGCAGGATGCATTCTACTGTTATGTATACATAATTAGAAAAAAAAAAACCGTGGGGGGGTACCAGGGAATGAACTCAGGGGCTCTCCACCACTGAGCCACATCCCTAGCCCTATTTTGTATTTTATTAGAACAGGGCCTCACTGAGTTGCTTAGTGCCTCGCTTTTACTGAGGCTGGCTTTGAACTCATGATCCTGCTGACTCAGCCTCCCGAGCCGCTGGGATTACAGGCGCGCACCACCACGCCCAGCTTAGAACAAATTTTTAAGAAAGGAAATATTTAGGGAACAAAATCCACAGGTACTAAACACATACAGACTTTTCATTTCCTAAATGATACAGTTTAACTATTTACATACTGCATGTATATATACTGCATGAGATATTTTAAGGGGTCTAGAAGTGACTTAAAGTACACGGGAAGCTGGGTTCAGTGGCCCATTCCTGTAATCCCCGCTACTCTGAAACTCTGAAGCTGAAGCAGAAGGATCACAAGTTTGAGGTCAGCCTGGGCAACTTAGGGAGACCCTGTCTCAAAAATAAAGAAGGGCTGAGGGTGTAGCTCAATGGTAGAGCACCCCTGGGCTAAATCAACAATACCACAATAAACATTAATAAAAAGGGCTGAGAGTGTAGCTAAGTGGTAGATTGCCCTGGTTTCAACCCATCATATCACAAAAATAAATAAAACAAAGTGTACGGTTTGTACATGGGCTCTACGCAAATAGCATGGCATTTTCTATAACATTTGGGTAACTGGAGGGAGGTGGGGTCCTAGAACCAGCTGCTGTGGATATTGTAAAGGTTACCCTGTCCCAGTTGGGCCCTACCTGTAGGTGGGCAAGATCTGCAGGCTGCAGTCCGGCTTTAACTGAAAAGTCAGAGTCACTCCTTGGAACGTGGGGTCCCCTTTCTCAGTGCCCCGGCAGGGGTGCGGCTGTTTGCGTGGTCTTCTCTGGGGTGGGGCTGGAGGACCCTCAGGGGGCACCATGCTGCAGCGCTTCTGGCTGACTGGGGTCTGCATGTTCTTGGAATTCCTGGCCATAGTTAAGGGGTCCAAAGTCCCCAGGGTCATTGGTCCCCAGCAGGGTCCCAGGGCCAGGGGGTCCTGAGTTGGGGGCAGGGCTAGCCCCTCTTCTGTCTCTTGAAGGAAGCCCAGGGCAGTGATGGAGTCCTGGCATCCAGGCCAGAGGGACCTGTGGACAAGAGGCCAGGTGATTACCTCCATCCCTGGGTGGTTCTTGGATCCAGAAGGCCTGGGGGTGCTCACTGGAACCTATTCCTTGCTCACTGTGCCTTTGAGCAGGTCACACACCCTGCCTGGGCTGTGGAATCCCTTCTAGGTTGTTTCAGGTTTAAAAGTTACAAAATAATTGCAAACAAGGCTCAAGGTAAGCATGCCAGGTGATGTTCTCAGCCCTTATTAACCATTTAATCCACCCAGGAGCCCAGGAAGCAGGGACTTACTCTTGGTGACCAGGCCAGGGCTTCTGACTTCTGAGTAGAAGACCCGCTGACTTTATATGATTTCTGTCTCTATCACTGATACGCTGGCCTACATAACCCCTGGATGACCCTCGGTGATGCTCACATGGGCCACGGGGATTCAGGGAGGTGTGAAATTGTATGGCCTCAGAGCCTAGATCATCTTAAGTGTCTGGAGACCAGAAGCTCTTTTTGGAAGTACCAGTAACTAACTTGGTGACCTCTGGATAACCTCAAGAACCAGAGGCCATGACCCCCTGCCACCAGGCTAGGTGAAATGTCGGCAGGGTGGGGGCAGGCGCCGAGCCTTACGCACCTGCCACTGAGCCTGAAGCATCCGGGGGGCCTCGGCTTCTGCTGGGCGGAGGGTCTTGGCGGCTCCACGTCCAGACAGCGAGACGCCAGGAGCTCTCCCAGCAGCATCAGGTCGGGGTCTTGGCAGTCACACCCCAGCCCCGCCCCACCACCAAGGGGTGGAAAGCCCTACGGCCGCTGCCCCGAGGGTGCAATGAGCCCCAGCTGGGTGGGGCGGGCCGCTGGGGTCTCCTCAGCGCTGCCTCTCCTTCCTGGCTTTACTCAGGTCACCTGCACACCCCTCAGGGCCAAGGGCAGCCTCTATCCCTCCAAATCCCTCCGCAGCTGCAGGGGCGGGGCCTCACCACCGGGGCAACCTGCCTAGGAAGAAGGGGATCCCGAGGCTCTGCCTCAGATCCCCAGCGGTCATCTCTTGCTGCCGGGACAGGAGAGCTGGGGTTCCAGCAGATGCGGATGCAGAATGTGGGTTCCCCCAAGGACACTCGACATGCTGGAAATCTAGGAGACAGTTTTATTGCAGCTCCAATTTGAGTCCACCCCTGCTCACGCTCCCATTCTTAGGGGCTGGGGGATGGCACCCCAAGTAGGGGCCCTGTCCCCTCCAGAGTCTGGACATAGTGATCTCTCCAAGCACGGTCTCTGGCCTTCACCGTGCTTCTGACATCTCTCTCCAGCCTGTTCGCACTCCGGGCTGGGCTGGGCTGGCGGCTCGACTATTCCTTCAAGTCCTGGCCCTGGGGCCATGGCGGTGTGGGGGACAGTCCTGCTGCCCATATCAGTGGGGCTTGGGGACATGTCCATCCACATAGAAGTTCCTGGTGATCTTGGGCAGGGTGAATTCAGCCCCTTCCAGCTCAGGGGTCAGCACGATCTGGCAGCCCAGGCGCGAGTTCTCCTGGAGGAGGGGGGCCATATCCAGCATGTCGTCCTCCCTGGGCAATGAGCGCAGCGTTAGCCGTCCACATGCTGGCCCAGCTGCTGGGGAGACTGGCAGCCCTGGGGTAGGCAGGCTGACCAAGTCCACTTGGGAAGGGGCAGAGGGGAAACTCCCCTTCCAGCAGCTGGAGGCGGGAGAAGAACTGGGGCTGCCCTCCCTGGTGGCCCCTCTGGACATGGGGACCTGGAGGCTCAGCAGCTGAGCCCTGCCACTCAGAGCCTGGGGGTCTGCCCTGCTCACCTCTCCTCAGGGGGAGGCAGAAGATCCAGGTGGGCCTCACTCACATACACATGGCAGGTGGAGCACGCCAGAGAGGCTTCACAGGCTCCTGGGGGCAGGAAGTGAAGGGAACGGTTGGTGAGGGGCAGGCGCCATTCCACAAAGGGTGCCAAGGAGAAGCTCTTTGTTTGACTGCAGGCCTCAGCACTCCCTCCTGGTCATATGTCAGGTGGGTCACCTGCACAGTTCATTGTTCTGGAGCTGCCTGCAGGCTTTATGAGGGCATGTCCAGAGTGTCTTAATTCCCAAGGACTCTCCAGCAGACTGAGGACTTGGCTGGGTGTGTGGAACCAATAATAAGCATGGAGTGACTTCTATAAAGCTGAGAGGGGAACGGCCAGCAGGTTCCCTGCAGCCTGTGAGCCTGTGCTGTGACCCTGTGCTAGGCCTGCTCCTGCCTCCTTGCTGCTCCCAGAGGACACTCTGGCTGACTCCAGAGGGAGAAGGGAGAATAGGTCAGGAGTAAGGATTAAAAGAGGCAGAACCTAGGGTCTTTCTACTCATCACTTGTTGTTGGACACACTTCTGAACCCTCTGACCAGTCACCAAGAACTATGCTTGGTGTCTTTCTTGGCCTAAAACTTTTCAAATGGTTTCACATCCAGAAAAAATCTAGACTCCTCTACTGAGTCCTTGAGATTCCTTCTCCCCTCATTCATTCCACTTCATTCACATTGACCCTCTTGATGCCACTCTAATAGCCAAACTCCAATACCCAAGTTCATCCCCACCTCAGGATCTTTGCACTTGCTGTATCCATGACTTGGAATGCTCTTCTCTCCACTTTTTCCATTCTTGTCTCTGGGGGCTCAACTCAACTATTCTCTGAGTCCCCCAACTCCTATTTCTTGTCCCTATCCCCCTTTTAATTTTGTGTCCCGTTTACACCACAAATAACTTTTCTTTCTTTTGGAAATGGGATTTTGCTATGTTGCCCAGGTTGGTCTCTAGCTCCTAATCTCAAGTGATCTCCCTTTGGCCTCCCAAATAGCTGGGATAATAAGCAAGCATCACTGTGCCTGGCTCATCTGCAACCAGAGTGTCTTAATTCAACCACCTTAATCTCTGGGTTTACCTGTTCCCAGTCAATCGGCCTTCCCTCTCTCTGTGCCAGGTACAAAGTACTACTAAATATTGTTTCATCCTAACAGCAATCCAATGAGATGACAACTAAATCATCTCATTTTATAGATGAGGAAACAGCTAAGTAACTTGCTCAGGGACATAGCTGTTAAAAGGCAAGATTTGAATACAGGATACTTGCCTCTAAATTTCATGTTCCAAACTCTGTTCTGGACTTCTGGCTATTGCATTCTAACACATAACTGCTTCCATGGTAGGAAGGCCTGCTATGGCCTTCCAATATCCCAACAGCCCCTTTAATGATTGGATTAGACTTTAAAAAAATTTTTTAAATACATTTTTTAGTTGTAGATGGACACAATACTTTTATTTTATTTATTTATGTGGTGCTAAGGTTTGAACCCAGTGCTTCACACATGCTAGGCAAGCGCTCTACCACTGAACCATAGCCCCAGCCCCAAGACTTTTTTTTTTGGTACTAGGGACTGAACTCCGAGATGCTTAATGAATCATTGAGCTACATCCACAGTACTTTTTATTTTATGAGACAGAGTTTTGCTAAGTTGCTTAGGGACTCTCTAAATTGCTGAGGCTGGCTTTGAGCTTGTGATTCTCCTACCTCAGTCTCCCTAGGCACTGGGATTACAGGCAGATGCCACCTCATCTGGCTTGAAAAGATTTCTTATTATAGTCTCCCAACAAATAAACCCTGTTTATTTTTCTTTTTCTTTACTTTTGAGAAGGTGGGGGATTGGGGATTGAACTCAGGGGCACGTGGCCACTGAGTCACATATGCAGCCCTATTTTGTGTTTTACTTATTTATTTATTTATTTAAATATTTATTTTTTAAATTGTAGTTGGACCCAATACCTTTATTTTATTTATTTTTATGTGGTGCTGAGGATCGAACCTAGGGCCTTGCATATGCTAGGTGAGTGCTCTAGTGCTAAACCACAACCCCAGCCCCTTATTTATTCATTTTTAACATTTTTATTTATTTTTATGTGGTGCTGAGGATCGAACCCAGTGCCTCACATGAGCGAGGCAAGCATTCTACCACTGAGCCACAACCCCAGCCCTCTATTTTATATTTTATTTAGAGGCAGGGTCCCACTGAGTTGCTTAGCATCTCACTGTTGCAGAGGTTGGCTTTGAACGTGTGTGTGATCCTCTGGCCTCAGCCTCCCCAGCTGCTGGGATTTACAGGAGTGCACCACCGCACCCAGCAGTGTATATGTTTTTTTTTTAATACCACCCTTCCAGTTGATCATGACTTAATAATATGTTTACTCTTGGGATTATTGTCATTATTAGGCTGAAATTGGTGTGAGATGACAGAGTCCTTATTTGTTTTATACATTGTTACCCAAAACATAGTAGGCATTCAATGTTTGCAGAAGGGTAGCACAGATTATGGGCTCAAATGGGCTGGATTTGGATCTAGTTTTGCCACTTACTTGATTTTGGGATGGGTCTACTTAAGCTGGTGTTCAGTTTCCTCATCTGTAAAACGGAATAAATCTCTTCTATCGCATAAAGTTCTCATGAAGATTCAGCCAGTTGATATGTACTAGTGTGCTTAAAGTAATTCGTTATTATTATTGTTCCTTCAGCAAAAGCTGATTTAAAACCTGTTACATCTAAGTACCATGCCAGGCAACAGATAAGCATGAACAAGGTGAACTGGGTCCCTGAGCAAAACAGTGCTATGAGGGTGACTGGGATGGAGACTTTAGCTGGACTGAGTGGGATGGAAGTGTCAGGAAGAAAACATTTACATTGAGAACTGAAGGATGAGAAGGAACCAAAAAGGTCTGCTAGGCTAGCACTTCTGACACAGGAAACAGAAAATGCAGAGGTTCTGAGGCAGGAATGAGCTTGGCTGTTTGAGAAATCACAGAGTGGCTAGAATGGAGGGAGCAAGCAGGAAGGGAACACAGCTCCCAGAGGGAAGTTCTAGTGCCTCTAATAAATGAAGACTGGGAAAGGGATGAGGCCATGGTGAAGAATTTGGATTTTAGTACATATTAGGTAGTAAGCCACAGGTGGGCTAGTCAGTAGAGAGACATATCTGTTTTGATGTGATTAGAGAGAGAGAGAGAGAGAGAGAGAGAGAGAGAGAGAGAGAGAGGAGATCAGGTCCTCCATAATTTCCTGTACTTGGCTCCTACCTTCCAGGTCCACTCCGTGGCGCTGGGCCAAGTGGAGAACATTGTCCCCGACTCTGCCGCTCACCGGGATCCGCTGGCCTGACCGGTCTACGAAGACCACGTTCACCCTGGGGACAGATGGGAGAGCGGATGCCACATTGGACGATGGGCTCAGGGGCCGCATAGATTCTAGGGTTAGGAGACAGGGGATGGGCGAGGCAGAAAAAAAGCCCCGGATGAAGTTGCAGAACAGGGCTTGAATCGGGGAGCCTCATGGGACGAGGAACGAGGGATTTGGACCCGTACACTCACACGTCCCCGGGCCGCTCAGAGCCTCCGGCCTCTTCTTCTCCTGCCGGGCGCGAGCCTAGAAAACACGGTTAGGTGAGCGGCTGCGCGCCGTTCTGCCGGCGTCCGACTGGTTAACGCAGTCTGTCCCAGGAGCCCTGGGTACCTGTCGTCCAGAATTTTCTGGCTATCGCCAGCGCCGCTGCCTCCCTGGACCTGCTCCACCAGGAACCCCTGGCCACCCGCAGCAAGACCCTGGCATTCACGCCGCCCCGGGCCACGGAGGCGGCCATGACAGGCATCACGTGACCAGACGACCGAGCATGCGCAGTCCCGGACACGCGAACTGAGAGCTCGTAATTACCCAAACACAAACGCAGGTTTGCTTGGGTCCTGAGGCGGCGAGGTGTTTGCGCCGGGGGAGGAGGGCACCAGGTGGGAACTCAGTCGTGGAAACATCCTAGATCAACCCGGCCTTCCCACCCAGGCCCACTGTTATCCCAAGAAACAGCCAGCTCTTATTTCTTTAAAACCGTTTACTTACAAACTTTAATTCAGCAAAGGTCTGTATGGGAAGATTGGGGAGAGGACATCCCCCTGAAGTGAATGTGGGCCCCAGAGTCAAGACAAGGAA